AAAAAAAAAAAAAAAAAAAGGGACAGATTTCCAGACACATATAAACTACCAAGCTGAATGTAAAAGACATGAGAACCCTGAATAATCTAATAACGGGAAATAAAATTGAAGCAGCAATAAAAAAAAAAGCTCAGGTTAGAGTGGATTCACTGCTGATTTCTACAAGAACTTCTAATGCCAAAGCTCCTCAAGTTCTTTAATGAAATGGAAAGGGAATACGTACTCCCAAATGCATTTCTGGAAGCCAGCATTACCCTGTTTCCAAAAACAGACAAAGACCCAACCAAAAAAGAAAATGATAGGCCAATCTCTTTAATGAATACAGGTGCAAACTCATCAAGAAGATACTGGCAGACAGTGCAGCAAATCTCAAAAAGATCATACATGATGACCAAGTAGGCCTCATCCCACAGATGCAGATTCAGCCATAAGTCAGTACCATTGCTCCAAGAGAAAAAACATGTATAAGGAAGAGAAAAATGTTGCTCAGTGTCATAGTTACATGAAAATATTTCAATATCCTAATTAGGACTGCCCACAGTTGTGAATTTGAAACTATTTCCGAGCATGGAAAGATATAAGAATGTGAGTGTGTCGCAGTGGAGTTGGGTGCATAGGAAGTATGGGCATACTGATTTAAAGACACAGTAGGGGCTGAGCATGATGGCACATGCCTATAATCCTAGTACTCAGGAGGCTGAGGCAGGAGGATCACTGTGAGTTTGAGGCCAGCCTGAACTACATAGTGAGACCCTGTCTCAAAAAAATAAAAGGGACAGATTCCCAGTGAGATAGGAACAAGGCAGGAAGACATGTTCTGAGTAATCTTAGAGGGGCTGAGGATGTAGCTCAGTGGTAGAGTGCATGCTTAGCATGTGTGGGGCCCTTAATTTGATGCCCATTTACAGGGGAAAAAAAAAAGTATGTTAGAGAAGTAAAGCTTCACCTATACAGAGTCCGCCAAGAAAAAAAAAAGTATACATAGTCCTGGAAAAGAAAAACTGAAGTGTGTATACTTTTTGGCAGACTGTAGAAATAATGAGGAAGACGAACACATTAAAGGAAATATTTTCTAACTATTAACATAATGAATGCTTCTTCTCTTTGCTGGCATGTCTTAAGAAAATATAAATTTCTAAAGTACCTGAGGACTGGGGATTTAGCTCTGGTGCAGCACCTTCCTGGTAAGCATGAGGTCCTGAGTTTGATTCCTGGTACCCAAAAGAAAAAAAAGTACCTGAAGTCAGCATTTCTACATTAGGAGCACATTTAGTTACAGACATGCACTGCTTAACAATGGCAGTATGTTCTGAGAAATGCATTGTCAGGTGGTGGCCATTGTGTGCACATCATAGAGTGCACGCGCATGAACCTAGATCGTACAGCCTGCTGCACACCTAGGCTGTGCAGAACATACCATCAGATGCGCAGTCTTTTTTGCTTTTTGTTTTTTTAGACAGAGTCTCACTATGTAGCCCAGGTTGGTCTCCAGCTCCCATTCTTCCTGCATTGGCCTCCTATCTAAGAAAAGCAGAAGTCTGAAGTGCTGGAATCAGAAGCATGCGCCAGCACATCCAGCTTGTACAGTCTGTTGTTAACCAACGATCATTGTATGGCTCATGATTGAAGATAATGATTAAATGTCTCAGTGTGACTTCCCAACTTTTTTCAGAGGAGATGCGTAAACAAGGCTTACGCCAATGGCTCGATTCTCTTCAGATGGATAACACCACCTCTCCAGACCTGCAGCTCACCGTGGGGGCAGTGATTGTGGAAGAAATGAGAGCAGCCATTGAAAGGCAGACTGGATTTCAGTGTTCAGCTGGAATTTCACACAATAAGGTGAAGCCTAAGCATAGATTTCAAAGAGAAACATGGACATCTTTAGTCAGATACAGCAAAGGTAGACATGAATGCAGCATTTAAGTTACTACCTGTGTAAAGCCTAGCATAGCCTATAATCCCAGCACTTAGGAAGCTGTGGTAGGAAGATTTTGAATTCATGGCCAGCCAGGACTATACGGTGAGACCCATATACTTTGAAGTGGATTTTTATTTAAAGTTTATATTGAAGCCCAAATAAAAGCTTAAGTAATATTTTATCAGGAATTAACATTGCTAAGAAGTTGCCTGAAAAATTGCAGAAAACACTTTTATATAGTTAACATCCAAAGTATTTCCTTAATGACTGAACTATCCATAAAAAGGAGGAGGCTGGTCTTTGTATTTTTATATATAGTAACCTTACTTCTTTTGTTTTTCATTTGCTCAATATTTTTGTATTATCTTATTTCCTTTTACATGGAATTGCCTAAGTATGTTATACTTTTGCTTATCCCCCACTCCTCACTTTTTTTTTTTTAATTTTGAGACAAGATTTCACTAAGTCCTTAAGTTGCCCAGGCTGGCCTTGAACTTGTGATCTTGCTGCTGCAGCCTCCCAGATTGTTGGGTTTCCAGGTGTGCAACACTGAACCCAGCATTTTATATTTTTACACCAAGTATAATTCACAGATGATACCAAGGAAGTGCCTATTTTAAAAGAATTCCCAGGAGTTTAATTTCTTTTCATTTTTAAGTGTTGTTGGTAGATAGGAATGCGATTGCTATTGTAGGAAGATTTTGAGCCTGATCTCGATCATAGATATGAGATTATGATATACTGTATGAAATTCAGGACTAACCTTTCATCAAGAAGTATGGGCTGCAGATATGACTCAGTGGTGTGACCTATTGTGTAGGAGGCCCTGGGTTTGATCCCAGTGCTGTATATACAAAAGAAACCCTGAGAAATGTAAATAAAGAGGGTAGAGTAGAACAGATTTAACATTTTCACGTGGATGCACTGAGAAATGCATCCTGAGTTTCTTCTCCCGTTTTTTGTTTTTTTTTTTTTCCAGTACTGGGAATCGAACTCACAACCTTGTGCTTGCCAGGCAGACACTGCACCGCTGAGCTAAATCCCCAGCCCACTGAGTTTCTTCTATAGCTCCTGTTTTTTAAACTTGAAGTGGGCTGGACATGATGGTGCTTATCTGTGATTGCATCACTTGGGAGGCTGAGGCAGGAGGGTTGCTGCAAGTTTGAGGCTGGGCTGGGCTACATAGAGTTCAAGACCAGCGTGAATTGCATAGTAAGGCTCTGTCTAAAAAAAGTAAACAAACAAACAAACTTGAAGTGGGTAGACCAACCTTAAGGAATAGACAGAGGAGGAAAAATAACTAGGAGGAAACTGAGGGTGGAAGGCTAGGAAGAGCAGTGAAGATACTGATAATGGGTCATGTTTTCCACTGAAGATGCTGTGAAACACAAAGTTTTAGGGATTTCTTGAGTTTCTGCCTGTATTTTGTTTCTAACATGGAAACCATTAGTTACAGCCCTTAGGCTGTGAGTGTGTGTGCTTGCATGTATGTATGCATATATTTTGTGTGTGTTTTCACCCATTCTGTGTAGGTGGGTTGACTGTAATATTTTTATACTTGCTCTGCTTCCAGGTCCTGGCAAAACTGGCCTGCGGACTAAACAAGCCCAACCGCCAGACCCTGGTGTCTCATGGGTCCGTCCCACAGCTCTTCAGCCAAATGCCTATTCGCAAGATGTGAGTATTTGGGGAGCATCTTAGTTTCACTCATATCTCTGTAAAAATGCTCTTTGGTTGCATATTGCTTTGTTCCTCAGAAAAAATTGTAGAGCTAGAGACACACAGACTTTTTTCTTAATGAATTTTTAATAGTGGAAGACTTGTGGTAGACACTTAATCTTGAATTTTTAAAAACTGAACTGAGTTTTAGCTATATGTTTAACTTCACTCTGGACTTTTTTCTTCTGCTTTTTAAAAAAATCTGTTTTGGTAGTGCTGGTGTTTGCACCCTGGGTTGGCATGAAAGAAGCCAATCAAATGAATAAGTTGTGCCTACCTGTTGTGTGTTCTTGAAGAGGACTAATGATATTGTTAGACAAGACATGGCAGTTTACGCCAAGAGTAAAAATGCTTTCCCAGGATTCCCTATGAATATGTGTTAAGTGAGCTGTGCAGGTAGTTAGTTACCAAAGTTCAGACAAAGAACAAAGTTATGTGGGAGAGATTTATGACACCAGCATGGGAATTTGTTTTGGAGGTTAGTATAATGTGGGGTCAGTCAAGAATCATAAAACAGCACTGATGTAAAGATGTTTTGGGACAAAGGGGAAAGCACAGGGAACCAGACATAAACTGACTCCCACTCCCTGCAGTGCACTAGTGGTGTGAGCCGTGTGGCAAGGTGGGTACCAGACAACATGCAGGCTCCACAGGTCAGGCTCAAGACTTGTGACCATAGCCTTAGTAAGTAAGAAAGGTTCTAGCTATAGAATTTAATACTCAAATGGAATAGTATGTCTCACACAGTTGAAAATGTTATGTTCAGTTGATTAGACAGATAATCAGTGACCTTTGGTTTAATGCTTTTGTTAATTTTCTTCCTGGGTCCTAATTCCCAGAGTGTATACTGTTGTTTTGTTTTTGGTACCAGGACTCGAACACAGGACCTTGCACTTGCCAGGCAGGCGCTTATGCCACTGAGCTATATCCCTGACCTTTCCCAGAGTATCAGAATTCTCAGCAGATAAAAGAGTGTACAGGATTAGTATATACTCTTATCTCCCTGCACCTTCTGGAGAGGTACTGACAGCTAAACATGTCTTCTGTTTGCCATTACTAGATACTTACAATGCCTTTGTTTCCTTTGTTATCAGCCGCAGTCTTGGAGGAAAGCTAGGCGCTTCTGTCACTGAAGTCCTAGGTGTAGAATACATGGGTGAACTGACCCAGTTCACTGAATCCCAGCTCCAGAATCATTTTGGAGAGAAGAACGGGTAAGTGATTCATACTATTTTTCAATCATAATCTTCATGAAAATTCTAAGTTCAAATATAGACAAAAGCATCTAGCATAATTTAGACCTATCTTTAGCATTTGTTCTTTCAGTTAATTTCACTGCTTAGTCTTTCTTGTTTTAAAGTACTAGGCAGTGTACTCAGTACTAGAACCCTGGGTTTGATCACCAGCACTGTAAAGATAAACAAACAAAATAAAGAATTGGGTCACTATAGCCTCTCAATCTGGAGTCATGTTTTCATGTATGGGGGTTGGTCAATATACTTTGAAGCTGGGGTATGTATTACTACATCATTTATGTGAGCTATTTTGTTGCTATTCCCTTAAAATCCTTGTTTATTAGATTTCAAAAAATGGGGAAAAAATGAAAAACCTTGGGGGTATGAATTGATGGCTTGCTGGGCACTTTTTCCAATAGACCGATTAGTTGGTTTGAGAAAGCAGAACAGCCAGATGTGGTGGCACACACTTACAATCCCAGCACTTGGGAGGCTGAGGCAGGAGGATTTCTGTGAGTTTGAGGCCAATTTGGGCTACATAATCAAGTTCAAGACCAGCCTACACTGCATACTGAGATCTTGTCTCAAAAAAAAGGAAAAGTCCTTGCCAGGCTGTTACACTGGGATCACTTGAGAAGGGCAGGGGTTTTGTTAAAGGTCAGGTATGCTTTTCATTTTGGACACATTTCTCACATTTGTTATGAGAAGGATAAAATGGTGATACAATATGGGTAGTTTAACAAGAATAATAATTTACTTTCATCTGAAAGTGTTTTTGCTGGTTTTATTAGGTCTTGGCTGTATGCCATGTGCCGAGGGATTGAACATGATCCAGTTAAACCCAGGCAGCTACCCAAAACCATTGGCTGCAGCAAGAACTTCCCAGGAAAAACAGCTCTGGCTACTCGGGAACAGGTAAGCAGGCAGCCTGGACAGAACACTGTCTTTTTTGTTTGTTTGTAGTGCTAAGGATTGAGCCCGACCACTGAGCAGCCTGCCCATCTTGAGAACACTGCTTCTTTTGTGTGTGTGTGTAGTGGTACTAGGGATTGAACTGAGGGGAGCTCTACCTCTGAGCTATACCCTAGCCCTTTTTTATTTTGAGGCAGGGTCTCACTTGAGTTCCCCAAGCTGGCCTCAAACTTGCAACCTTCCTGTTTTAGCTTCCTAACTAGGAGTATAGGCATATGCCACCATGTCCAGGTCAATGCTGTCTCTTTTAAAGTGGTTAGTGGGTAGATTTTGGTAGCTGCAGAAGGTATTTGGGGATTTTCTTGTTTAATTTGTTTTGAGACAGGGTCTGGCTAAGTTGCCTGGGCTGGACTCAAACTTGTGATCCTCCTTTCTGTTTCCCAGAGTGCTGGAATTATAGGCATGTGTCCCTAAGTCTGGTTTGAAGTTTAATAGGTCAGAAGTTTATTTTTTGTTTTGAAATTGATTCATTTAACTTGGAATTTACTTTTTTTATCCCTTTCTTTCAACTAAAAAAAAAAAAATAAGCTGGGTGTGGTAGTGCATTTCTGTAATCCCAGTACTTGGGAAGCTGAGGCAGCAGGATCACCTCAAGTTGGAAGCCAGCCTAGGCTACAAAGTGAGTTCAAGGCCAGCCAGAACTGCAGAGTGAGACCCTGTCTCAAGAATAGATAAATAAATACATAAATAAGAAATAAAATGGAATTGAGGTTTCTCTTTTTTTTTTTTGAAGGTGGAAACTTTTTTAAGATAAGGTCTTACTGTTGCCCAGGCTGGCCTTGAACTCTTCTCCTTCTCCCTTTGCTAGGATTACAGGTGTGAGCCACCACACCTAGAAAGTAGGTGGAAATTTGGAAAGCCTGGGGTTTTGTACCTCAGTTTGAGGTCTTTATTTTCTTACAGCTGGAACATGGCTAAAAGTCAAGATGACATGCCAGTAGGAAAAGAAAGTTAGCTTCATGCCAATAGGAAAAAAAAGTTAACTTCAAGTCAGGCGGGACAGATTCTGATGATCTGGCTGTAGGGAAACCATTGGTACACAGATCCCTTTGGGTTAGAACTGAGCAAATCCACTATCTAGTGCTATAAGAGACCTAAAGTATTTACGGGAAAGATTAACACTACAATACCTTTCTAGGTCCAGTGGTGGCTTTTGCAGTTAGCCCAGGAACTGGAGGAAAGACTGACCAAAGACCGGAATGATGTAAGGTTCTCTTTATTTCTGGAGTGGGCTTTGGAATTTATGTTGTTATTTTGTTTGTTTGTTTTGTTTTGTTTTTGCTTTTTGTGACAAAATCTCACTATGTACCCCAGGCTGGCCTTGAACTTGTGGTGATCCTCCTGTCTCAGCCTCCCAAGTGCTGGGATCACAGGCACATGCCACCCACCCAGCTGGTTTTGGAATTTAAACTACTTCTTAGCTTTATAAAATAAGAATAAAAACAGAAAAAAAACCTGAGTGTGGTGGTGCACACTTGTAATCCTAGCACTCAAGAGTCTGAGGCAGGAGAACCGCTATGAGTTTGAGGCCAACTTGGGCTACATAAGCAAATTCAAGGCCAGCCTGCACTATATAATGAGACCCTATCTCAGGAAAAGAAAGAAAAAAAGAAAAGAGGCATCAGCCTAGGACATTTTAAGAAATCTTTCAACTTAGTCATAAAACTCAACTTAGTCTTTGAAAGCCTGAGTCTGTGAATCTGCAGTCTGACTCTGCCCCATCTCTCTCTTTACCATTTGCCTCTATAGTTTTCTGGATTTTCTTATCTAACTCTCCTGCAACCCGGAATAAATAGTGGCCTTTCAGTCAGTCACAGCTACTGAGGAGGTACTGGGAGTTGGAACTGTAAGTCATTGGCCTTAAACATCGTCCAGGGGAGTAGAAGCCGTTTAAAGATGGAGTATTGAGTCAGACACTAGACAAACCAATACAGTCACTTAAAGATACAGTCACTTAAAATGTATACAGTATGTCAGCGGGGTTAGGGTATTCCAGAATCGTACAGCTGTTCTACCATCAGTGTTAGAGTGTCTTCAGCAACACCCCCAGGAGCCCTGCATGTGTCAGCAGCCACTCTCCCATTCCGCACCCACCCTCGGCCTCAGCCCCCACGAGTCTGGCTCTCTCTTTCTGTGCAGATTTACTGTAGTGGATGCCTGCATGTGTGGCTGTGATGACTGGCTTTTGAAGTCTGTACCTAACATAAATTTCTTTCACCACATCAGAGCCACAAAGGTCCTGACTTTGTCCCATTCTGTCCTACCTCTCTCAGCTTTGTCTCTACTTCAGAGAGGCATGACGGGTGCTCTGTTGAAAAGATGGGTTTGAGCTGGGTGTGGTGGCACATGTCTTTAATCTCAGCACTCTTGACACAAGTTTGAGGCCAGCCTGGGCTACGTAGTAAATTCAAGGTCAATGTGAACTACAAAGAAAAAAAAAAAGAATGAAAAGACGGCTCTCCTAGGAGGGACTCCTTCATGATTGCTACTTTATATTCTGTCAAGGCACAGAAATCTCCACAGACAGATTCTCATCCCCAAAGTAGTTGTGCTCATTGAATTGTTCACCTGAGGCACTTATCTCCCTTTGTCTTGGATTTTGAGGGGATCCTCAGGTAGCCTTTCACATCACATTGCTACCCCTTGACCTTTCTCCTCAGTCTGCTACAGCAGAACTCAGGTGCAGAGATGTCACTGATGTCTCTGGAAGGCTGAGGAGGAGGTGCCGGTGGGCACTTCCAACATTTGGATAAGGGTGTCAGAGCAGAACAGCCCTGACAGAAAACTAGACCGTTAGTCCGTTGTGACAGTCTAGCTTTCAGACAAGCACTTTCCTAAACCATTTTTTTGTTGTTGTTAGTAACAAAATTGATGAAAATAGAGTATGGTGTGGTAGGGATTTTTTTTTTCTTTTTTTTTTTTTTTAATGAGACAAGGTCTCACTGTGGTTCAGACTGGTCTCAAACTGATGATCTTCCTACTTCAGCCTCTAAAGTGCTGGGATTGCAGGCATGCACTCCCATACCCAGTTTATATAATCTTTCTTAGATACCATAAGGAAACTTTCAGGAGTCTCATTTTCACTTATTCTGTTCTAGTCTCATCATCTATCAACATGGCCTAGATATTTTACTGTTCCATCACCCAAATTATGTCTTGTTCAGTTCTTCCAAAATTAGCACAAAGGGGCTGGGGATTTAGCTCAGCGGCAAAAGCGCCTGCCTGGCAAGCGCAAGGTCGTGAGTTCA